CCAACAGTTTATATTTACATGGAGTCACTGTAATTAACAGATTTCATTAACTTGCTGCTACTGTAGTCACCCAGTTTATCGAGTTCGACGTGTATGAGTAAATAAATGCTTGCAAACTTTATAATCAAATATTTAAAGGCAACGAATTGGTCGGTACTAGAAGATACCTTTCTTCAACCAATTTCACTTACTCTACGCGTTTACATATAATTAAGTGTTTATAATATAAAGTTTAGTTTGTATATAAAACGTAAATTATACTTCTCTAACAAAAAATAATAGCTTTTCAAGAAACAAATTAATATATATCAACGTGAAAACGCCATCACAGGCTGTAACATGCTATAGAAAACAAAAAAAGTTTAATGTTGATGTGTCTTTTTTTAATTGGTCCAATAAGAAAGGAGAATTTCAAATTATTTAACGTCATATCGTGACGTGTCATTATACGGGATATTCTCTAACAAGATATACCTATGAACTTTTGAAAGGCACGTTACAAAATCAGTCATATAAGTATAAAAATATCATAAAAGACAATTCTACACAAATATACTCATTGGGCTGTCAGTGCTGTCCCCACCGCAGGTATCGAAACCCAATTTTTAGTACAGGATTACCGCCGAGCCACATGTGGCTAAAGTAACGAAATAATTTAAGTAAAAATGAAACATACCGGATCATGTTAAAAAAACAAAACACAAAATGCAACAAGTTGGACGGATCAATGTTCGAGGAGTGCTAACCTATATAGGGGGGTATATAGAGTGAAATCTGAACGGCACCTTATGGGCTAAACGGCCAGGTCAGAGACTCCAGAAGAACCGGCAACCTGTCAGCGACAATCTACCCCCCTTAACTGAATAGCGGGATTAACCATCACAGTTATGACGTTCTCACAGCTGGAATTGCGGATGATATTCACTGACATATCGCGTGTCGAACCTTGGATCTTCTGACCAGCAGACCCCCACGCTAGCCACTAGGCCTCCCACCCCGTGCCCGTACGTAAGATGATTAAATAACCCTGAACGGTTGAGATGCTACGAACAAGTTTCAATAGATGTGTAGCTCAGAATTAAATAAGTTCAACAAATTATCACGATTCTCTCGAAGCTAAGATTTGTCAGTATTGCAAAAACTTGACACTCGTAATCTGTGGGTCCGCGGAATCGAAACCCGTCTCCGAATATCTCGAACTTTTAGTCGTGGGGCCGTTTAGAATGTGACGGTGAATCCCACTTTTTTGTTGGGAAAAAAAAATAGCCCAAGAGTTGGCAGCAGGTGGTGTTGACTGGTTGCCTTCTCTCTAGTTTATCACTTCAAAATTAGAAACGGCTAGTGCAGATAGCCCTCGAGTAGCTTTGTGCGATTATTCAACAAACGAACTGCATTGTAAATGATTTTATATTTTGATAATAGTTTTAATTAGCGAATTTCTCGATAATCAGGAGAAACTGAGGGTCTGAACTGTTTAATAACTTCTTAATAACCGTTCAAAATAACAAATAAATGTCTAATTTTATGCATTATTGTTATTGCTGTTATTTTTTCTAACTAGCTTTGGGAGTATTTCTTTCGTTGCTCTATTATTTTTCATTATTTAGTTCAAATATTTTGTATAATATTATCGCACGTTTCATATCAGCAGTGGGTTTTCGTTTCTGTTCGAAGTTCTGAGATAGAATATGCAAAATATATCTCGCGAGAATATCTGACTTGAAAGACGAACACAAATCATGAATTTACTCGAAAATCGTTTTGTTTGAAATAATGGTTTAAAAGATTAAAAATAAAGGACGAATTTCAGAATGATAATATAATTATTTGTTCGATTCCTACGATGGGAATTGAACAAATAATTGTCCGGTAGACAAGAAACTGTTTAAAATGATGATATTTACTTTTAACAATGACGTCTTTATTTTCTGTTCAAACTAATACATTTATTTAATTACCCTTTATTCAAGAACAGAAAGACACATACTGCAAGCCTGTGAACAAATATACATAGAGTATGTTCAGAAATGTTTCATATTCTGTTCTACTAAAAAATTCAACTGTGACTATACGTTTATTGTCCGTGTGATAAGAAATAATGACATTATCCAACTGTTACTATGGTGTATATTAGAGACCGTGTGATAAGAAATAATGGCATTATCCAACTGTTGCTATGGTGTATATTAGAGACCGTGTGATAAGAAATAATTTCTGGTCTCTTTTATGAACATTTCTAGCATGAGTAATTTTATATCACACTACCGTTCGCGCTTTTTACGAAACTTCTTCGTTCAAATCTATTTCCCTGTCAATGTTCCTATCTTCATTAAAAGGCGTAAGATGACAAAAACAAGATCTTGAAGAATTTCTCAATAATGTGCCTTGGTTATGGTAGGTAATTCAAAGAAAGAATAGTGTTACTGTTTCTTATTTAGAAGGTTTAAGAGGAAAAACCACAACATAATGAACTAATTCATCACAATACCTGAAAAACTCTGACTTCACTTTTTTGAAAAATGAAATTGTCTTTCCTTTTACTCCCGATCAACAATCAAATATCTTTTCTTGAATTCTGAATAAAACGAATGGATTGAAATATTTAATTAAATTATCCCAAAATAAACCTTCATTTCGGTACAATATTGAAATTAGCTTGAATTCTTCATAACCTCCGAATAGTGGGTGGTCTAGTGGATACTATATATATACCATAACCTCCGAATAGTGGGTGGTCTAGTGGATACTATATATATACATATATACCATAACCTCCGAATAGTGGGTGGTCTAGTGGATACTATATATATACATATATACCATAACCTCCGAATAGTGGGTGGTCTAGTGGATACTATATATATATATATACCATAACCTCTCAGTGGATCGCTGTTCTCGTGTATATGATGTTTCACAGATTACTCCCGGATCGGGCGTTAAATTAAAACAATTACAACTTCTATCACCGACGATGTTCCAACAGAATATCTGAATGTTCGTCGATCTGTATAAATGTCTTATATATCAATAAAGAAAATAAAACAAGTCCACCCAAAAGCTGAAGACACAACTCCTCAAAAGTATACTCCTGTTGTATTGGTCCACGGAGTATACTGTTATGTTTTTGTAAAGTCGTGTTGTATTGGTCCACGGAGTATACTGTTATGTTTTTGTTAAGTCGTGTTGTATTGGTCCACGGAGTATACTATTATGTTATTGTAAAATCGTGTTGTATTGGTCCACGGAGTATACTGTTATATTTTTGTTATGTCGTGTTGTATTGGTCCACGGAGTATACTGTTATGTTATTGTAAATTCGTGTTGTATTGGTCCACGGAGTATACTGTTATGTTATTGTAAATTCGTGTTGTATTGGTCCACGGAGTATACTGTTATGTTATTGTAAATTCGTGTTGTATTGGTCCACGGAGTATACTGTTATGTTTTAAGTCGTGTTGTATTGGTCCACGGAGTATACTGTTGTTTTTAAGTCATGTTGTATTGGTCCACGGAGTATACTGTTGTTTTTGTAAAGTCGTGTTGTATTGGTCCACGGAGTATACTGTTATGTTTTTAAGTCGTGTTGTATTGGTCCACGGAGTATACTGTTGTTTTTGTAAAGTCGTATAGTATTGGTCCACGGAGTATACTGTTGTGTTTTTGTTTTAAGTCGTGTTGTATTGGTCCACGGAGTATACTGTTATGTTATTGTAAAGCCGTATTGTATTGGTCCACGGAGTATACTGTTATGTTATTGTAAAGTCGTGTTGTATTGGTCCACGGAGTATACTGTTATGTTTTTGTTAAATCGTATTGTATTGGTCTACGGTGTTTCAAAGTAACAGTATTTAAATGTTTATATCCCAACTAAGTGTAAATTTAAAGACCTGTTGTTGTTTTTTTGTCAACATAAACAATTCTGGACTGTTTCAGTGTTAACGAAAACGATAATCTGATTATCTTTGTATATTTCTTCGAACATCCTTTTTTGTCCATTTCATTTAACTAGCCTTTCAAGCATAGATCGGAACATACAGCCCAACATATAGCGTAACATGGAAATCACTCGTTCTGCTCGGTTTCATCTAACTAGCCTTTCAAGCATAGATCATAACGTACAGCCCAACATGGAAATCATTGATTCCGCTCCGTTTCATCTAACTAGCCTTTCAAGCATAGATCGGAACGTACAGCCGAACCAGGAAATCACTTGACTGTAACCCTCACTATATCGGCTTATTTTGATTCTGTCGGCGAGGTCCAAATATTGAGTAATCTTATCTGCTTCAACACTTAATCTAAATAATGAATGAAGTCGTTAATTTTTTATGCAAAACACATAGGATATCGTAGCAGTAAGGATTAGAATTAATTACTCGTATTTTCGTTTACATTTTTCTTTGTGTGATTCTAATGTTGTCAGAAATCTTGTAATTAACAAAGTCATGGACACACAAGTTATTTGGTGGATAAACAGTTTATAAGAATGTGTTTTTAAAGCTAACGGAAATTATCGTTAATTTTAGGGTTAAGGAAGCCTATTAATCGGTTCAATAAACAGTGATTTCATGTTCACTGCTTAATTTTCAAATATTTGAACAACAACAAAAAAAAACGGAAAATAAGAACGGTTATATGTTTAACTTATCAGAGTTGATATCAAAAGCTTATAATCTTCTAAGTAATTAATAATAATAAAAGATCGTACGTAAATAATGTACTGCTAATACAAAACCAGTGTTAGTTCCTCTTCCTTCCACCCTCAGTGACGAAATGCCAATAATTTGTTGCAGAGTTATTAATGCTGTACTGATTTCGTCATATCTACGATTTTGACGTTTTTCAGAGGAGAAGCGTGGAACGTCGGTTGTTGAACTGGTTAAAAAAGAAGGAAGCACTTTGGGATTAATAATTTCCGGTAAGTATGTGTCAGTTACAAAATACTTAATGATCTTTGAACCAAGAAATATTTAGAAGCTAATGCAGTGGTAGTTTATTACTAACTTCTAATTAAAGTAAGCTAACTCGATAGATCAAAACTAAAAATCAATTGGTAATTTAAGGAAGCTAACGAACACACGAAAAAACTAAAACCTATATTGATTCATGAGTTAGGATAATATCGTTGTTATCATTAATATCTCACAAGGTTCAGCCAGATTAGAAGATTTGGGTTTGTCCTAAATCCACATAACAAACTCAGAATACAAGATATCATCGTAAGATTAATAAGTTAATTTTATTTTAAATATTTCCAACCAATAATAATAATGTAAACAACTTTAAATTTTAAAGAAAAAGTATATTATTACTTGTGTCAGTACATCATTACTTGTGCCAATACATCGTTACTTGTGTTAGTACATTATTACTTATGTCATTACATCGTTATCTGTGTATGTACGTCATTATATATATATATATATATATATATCAGTACATCATTACTTATGTCAGTACATCATTACTTGTGTCAGTACATCATTATATATATCAGTACATCATTACTTGTTTCAGTACATAATTACTTATGTCAGTACATCATTACTTGTGCCAATACATCGTTACTTGTGTCAGTACATCATTACTTATGTCAGTACATCATTATCTGTGACATGTACTATTTCAAGGAAGCCTAAATCTAACAGTTGTCTTTTTAAGTCTTAACATGGGGAAGCTGTTACGAAAAACAAAGAATGTACACGATAGCCATCAAACATGTTTTTTACTGTGGGTCTGGCATGAGCTGGTGGTCAGGACGCAACCTACAGGTTCGAATTATATCACCAAGGATGCTATCCTTATCAGATCAATCCCACCATTTAATTAGAGTACCCCATGAGTTGGCGGTGGATGATGTTGATTGGCTGCTTTATCTCTAGTCTATCACTTCTAAATAAGAGACGCCTAGCGCAGCTAGCTCTTGAGTAGCTTTGCGCGAAATTATATAGTTTTTAATTTATAAGCCAAGCTTGGACTAGGTGCTGCAGCGTTCTTCAGGTTCACACACATACCCCCCGCTCGAGCAACGAGTCACGTCACTAACTGTGCAATGCTATGCAATCCCAGCTCAACAATATAACGAATTTTCCAAATCACTGTAATGAAATAACAATGCCTGACAGTGTAGAACAGTGTTATTTAATGCTTTGTAAAACTAAATATAACTACAGCCATTTTACAGTGTTATATATATATAGAAATTAGTGTTTTCATAAATTGATAAAAATGCAAATTGATTAAACAGTAGTTTTTTTTTATTGTTTAGATATATACAGAGGGTTGTAGTTAGAAAAATGCCAATGGTTATTTATACTAAATGATGTCAGTGGCATGCGTAACTTCAGGATTATTCTTTAACTTACCGCCTATGGGTTCGATAAGTTGAACATAATAGATAGATTTCAAAGCAAAACTAGATTTAGATTACATTGACGTGTTCCAAATGGTGTTAGGTAATTATTCCATTGCCAAACCACATCAAGACGTAAATAGTCCCTAAAAGTTTAATATAGTTCGATTAATTGGGTTATATTTTATGTAACAATATACAATTAATCTTGTAAAAAGCATTCTAAGAGTCTCATATATCTACTGAGTTCCATATATCAAAAGTTATGGAGAAGAAGTTATATCACAATCGTCATTTTACATATTGTTTCGTAGACTGTTCGTGATATGATACACGTGACTTTTGGTTCAACCAATTGTGTACCTTTACTTTCAACATACTGAGAAGTCTGAAGTTATTGTCGTTACGCTCGTGGCTGCCAGATCGTATTAAACAATTACTAGTTCATTTTTTTGAAGAGAATGTCTGATAAGGTTATTTTATCGCTAGTCTCTATAATAGTTTATTCATCACTAATTTACCATGAAATAAGATAAAGTAAAATAAAGATAAAAACTCAAGTTTGGGATGATACACACACAGTTGGTTTTTCAGAGGGTTTGGTACTAATTAATTTAAGTTGAATCACTCATTAGATATTTGCTGAATTCTGATCGTAGTGCAATTTTTTCAGCTGTTTTTATCGTCTGTGTGACGTTGAATAAATAAAAAGCACGGACAAATCTTCAATATATTTATCATAACTTAATACGTACTTTTATGTTCTTTAAGGTGGAACTGATAAGGGTTCTCGACCAAAAGTGGCGAATCTGCGTCCTGGGAGTATTGCCCACAGGTATGGGGATTTACATTGTTTAAAAGTTTCTGTTTCAGTCTTAGTTTAATTTTCATTATACCAGATATTGAAGATCGCAAAAAAAATGTTACTGTACTTTATCTGACCAAAGTTTACATGAAATTATGTATGTACGTACAGGAGTGATGCTTTGGCCGTTGGAGATTACATCATTTCTGTAAACGGTATTCGAACAACGAGACTGAAACACGAGGAAATCGTTAATTTGTTGATGAATGCCGGAGAAAAAGTCACGTTGGAAGTGGAGTATGAAATACCTGCATCACGTAAGGATTAAGCTTTCTCGTGGCATGTTTTTACGTTTCAGTCTACAAATCTTAGTAGAAATGCAGCAGATAACGTTAATCCCATAGCAACTAAAATAACTACGTAACCGTTCATTAGACTTCGCCGATCTGTATTCAATCATCATTAACTTGTTAATGTAATCTTTAAACTTTTTTATCCTCTGTAAAAACAAAATAAATGTGAATTAGTTATTATTTGTAAGGAACAACTAAACGTTACTACCAAAGTTCTTAATAAAAAATATTTATAAACAAGCCTTCAAAAAACGGAATATACTTACACTCCAAAAATAACTTTACTGCACCAGATGACTTTAACTAAAGAGTGTAACCCTGGCACAATAAACATCAGGAAAATAACCAGAAAAGAAAAAATAGCATTGGAAATTATCTCAAAATATCTGCTTAACAACATTTACAACTATATGATTATAACTCACAACAACAACATTTACAATTCTTTAATTACAGTTCACAATAACAACACCTTATAATTCTCTAATTATAACTCACAACAACAACATTTACAATTCTTTAATTACAGTTCACAATAACAACACCTTATAATTCTCTATTATAACTCACAACAACAACATTTACAATTCTTTAATTACTTGTTGTGAGTTATAATCAGAGTTATAAGGTGTTGTTATTGTGAACTCAACATTTACAATTCTTTAATTACAGTTCACAATAACAACACCTTATAACTCTCTGATTATAACTCACAATAACAACACCTTATAACTCTAATTATAACTCACAACAACAACATTTACAATTCTTTAATTACAGTTCACAAAACAACACCTTATAACTCTCTAATTATAACTCACAACAACAACATTTACAATTCTCTAATTATAACTCACAATAACAATACCTTATAACTGATTATAACTCACAACAACAACATTTACAATTCTTTAATTACAGTTCACAATAACAACACCTTATAACTGATTATAACTCACAACAACAACATTTACAATTCTCTAATTATAACTCACAACAACAATGCTTACAATTCTTTAATTATAACTCACAACAACATGTACAATTCTCTAATTATAACTTACAACAACATGTACAATTCTTTAATTATAACTCACAACAACATGTACAATTCTTTAATTACCGTTCTGTGTTTTAGGTATTGGGACAAAACCTCAGTACCACTTCCTGTCAGTCATTTTGATTCATTGCAAAAATTAGGGTTAAAATTAAATAATAGAAGTTGGATGGCATTTCATAAAGACATCTTAACTGAATGTCAGAGAAAAGAATACATGAAATATAAACATAATAATAATTAACAGAAAATTAAAGAATATTATTTAATTGTACAGTATGTTCAGTATTGTAAAGTTATTGATCAGGATTATAATAATTAACAAAACTAAATGAATACTACCCTATCTATTAATTGTATTGTAAAGTTATTGATCAGGATTATAATAATTAACAAAACTAAATGAATACTACCCTATCTATTAATTGTATTGTAAAGTTATTGATCAAGATTATAATAATTAACAAAACTAAAGGAATACTACCCCACCTATTAATTGTATTGTAAAGTTATTGATCAGGATTATAATAATTGACAAAAACTAAAGGAATACTACCATACCTATTAATTGTACGATGTGTTCAGTATTGTAGTTATTGATCAGGATTATAATAATTGACAAAAACTAAAGGAATACTACCATACCTATTAATTGTACGATGTGTTCAGTATTGTAGTTATTGATCAGTATTATAATAATTGACAAAACTAAATGAATACTACCCCACCTATTAATTGTATTGTAGTTATTGATCAGTATTATAATAATTGACAAAACTAAATGAATACTACCCTACCTATTAATTGTATGGTATGTTCAGTATTGTAGTTATTGATCAGGATTATAATATCAGTGTTAGTGTTAAAGATCAAACTGAGTTTAAATCAACAGAAGGATTGTTTAAGCACTTAAAAGCTAGCATGTCATAAGTATACCAATGAATGTTTTATTTCTAAATGTTTGAATCAACATAAGGATTGTTTAGGTATTTAAAAGCTAGCATGTCGTTAATATACCAATGAATGTTTTATTTCTAAATGGAAAATATGATCTTATTAAAAGCAACAGGCTTGGAGTCCAGTTTATAGAGTTTCGAGTTGTTCTTTGTTTGTGCTGTTTTGACACATAGAGCAGAAGCTCAAAAGTTTAAAATAAAAAAAACAAGTAACTGTGGAAAAGGAAATACTGACATATTTCCAGTTCAATCTAGATGTTACCCTAAAAGAACTTTCTCTTTTGTTATATATGTGGTTCATAAAAAAAAGCATAAATGAGTAATATTTTTGAAAACTGAACAGTTAATTTTTAGCTAATATATAAAAATAATGCATAAAACTAGAAAATTATTTCCCCTTCCTTTTAGCTGCTGAAGGGTCAGTTTGTATGTGTCCAAAGGTTATTCAAGTTAGTCTGGAAAAGGAAGATGGCAGTTTTGGATTTACACTGCGTGGAGGTGCGTGTTCTGACAAACTGAAATGTCGACCAGTTACAATCACTCATGTTCGACCGGGAGGTCCAGCAGACAGGTAGGCTATTGTAATTCACCAAATATTTAATACATGTAAAACAAATTGAAGTTTTGAATTATTATACTTTTATTTAGTGCTAATTAAAATAATGAGCTTGTTGTAAAATAAGAACTTACATCAGAAGTGGTCTGTTGGGTAACACGTCAGACTGTGGATTGGAAGGTCCAAGTTTTAAGCTATTAGACCTTTAAACATGCTTTGAACTTTCAGCTGTGGTGACACTAACAAACATGATGGTTAGTTCCATTATTTAGTTCAAGAAGCCAAACAAAACCCTTGTGGATGATACTGACTGACTGTCCTCCCTCTGGTCAGTAGTTCAAAATTATGGAGGCTATAGCTGAATGTACCACTACTACATATCAATTACAGGAAAACATTTTTTTATGTATTTGCTCAGTGCTTTGTCTACACTTATCAACAACATATCCCATATACAGATATATAGTTATTATTGAAATGTATTCCTACTGTTACACTCACCCATGATAGTGCAGGAAGTTTAGGTGTACCAGCTATAGCTTCAGCATTCTCCAAGTGCTATTACCTGAAAGTTTCAACTTGAAATTTCTATTCATGTTGCTGCACACTTGTAACTATAATGTACCAGTATAACATTACGTTACTACCAGGGTTAGACAGCAAATTTATTAAGTGCAGAGCAAGATTTACAGATTTACGAAATTAGTTAATAAATTACTGCCTGGCCAGGACTTTGTAACAAAATATCTTAAACACAAGTACTAATATTTAATGAAAGCAATCCTTTAAATATCAAATCACTCAAAATAATAATGAATTAGGGAAAAAAAACAGACAAACCTAGTCTATGAGATTATACAAAGGACCAATATTAAACACTTCTTAAGAATATCACGTATAATGAACAAGCAAGTATGTGTAATAAAATATCATTAGTTTTGACAATCAACAAATATATCTGATGTATCTCAATCTCACAGCTCCCACCAGCCTCACTTAACTTTAGATTATGAGCTTTTTATTTCATTGCCAAACCACCAGGTTACATGTCATGTGACTAACAAATAGGCATTTGTTTTACATAATCATGTATCCGTACGTCACCACCAAGGGAATCCTGTGTCAGTTTGTAATGTAAAAATCATTCATCTACTATTGAATATACACTAGGAGGCAGGTGAGCTAGAGTTTTTAAGTAAATAAAAACATAGCTGAATTAAATGATTGAAGGACAAAATATTTAAACAGTAACATACTAAAAATATGATAGAATTTTCCAACTCATACAACTACTAGAGAAAACCTAGAAAGTTAAATACATTTTTAGAATAGCTTAAAATACGTTGTATTAAAGTAGTAAGCTCTAAAGAGTGCAGTTTCAAATGCAGTTTGTTTTATTAATCGTCAAATTACTAACTTGTTTGTGTACTATTCATTAATAGTGGTGTTCTCATATTGAGTAACTGTATGTCTTGCCTGTTACGATACTAAGTATAAAGAAAGAACTTGCAACTGATTTTTAACATCAAGTACGTGAGTAACTGTGGGAGTTATCACAATATACCACTCATTTTTAACATTAAGTATGTGAGATAAGTCCCACAGTTACACAATATACCACTCATTTTTAACATCAAGTATGTAAATTACTGCATCTGTAGTTAATGAGACTTATTGTAGTGTTGATGGTATTTTTTGTTTATATTTCTTGTTACTACTGGCCCTGTGATCATCAAAGTTGTGTGCCTTAAGCAGTTTGATGCTTACATAGTGTAGGAAAAGTGCATTTCAATTTATAAAATGTTTAATAATAGTCCTAGTAATCATTTTAGAAGTGTCACTGTTTATCCATTGGAGTTTATTTTTCACAGATTTTATTTTCTTTTTGTGATACAGAGATGGAACAATCAAAGCAGGCGATCGATTGTTGGCTGTAAACAACATCAATTTAGGACAAGCCACATTACAGGATGCTATGACAGTTCTGAAGCACATGGACAAGCAAGTCCTTTTAACTGTGGAATATGATGTGTCTGTCATGGGTATGGATCTGTTGCATGTTTCTCACTTTGATTAACATTAACTTCTCACCATTAACCTAAGCTATCTACATATATTAGAAGTAGAGTTCAACCTGGTAATGAGTATAGCTGGTTTAATATACTGTTCTTACTTATAATAATAGGAATGTGTTTGGTACCCTTGCTCTTTGTGATATTTTCAGTCACATTCCCAATAGTCTCTTGTGTAGTTCATGCACATCTTTTTAATGAGGCAATCTAGTGAAAAACCACATATAAAAGAAGTGGTTCCTTATTTAACAACTTCTAATATATATATAAAAGCCAGTGCATTTTGGTAACAATGTGTTCCAACAATAGCTTTTGTATCGTGTTGCTTAGCAATAAAAGTATAACCTAATATTGTTGTTAAGAGGCTATGTGCTGAAAATATAAAAGAAATATATAAACTACAAAATTGAAAAAAATATATATTTGTTGTTTTCTAATTTAGAGGCTGTTAATTAAGGAGGTTTGTTCTTATTATTTAAGTTTAAAATCAAAGGACAAGTCAGAGAGAAGGTTACCTTTATAAACAGTCCACATCCCGTAAATAAACAACAAAAATATATATGTTATACTTTTATGTTAAAATGGGTTCAGAATACACACGCTGACATAGCCATCTAGAATAAATCAACCTAATAACCCAAGCGAAGTCAGGGTACTTTAGCTAGTATGTAATAAATAAAAAATAGTTAATGAAAGAATAGAATATAACTTGCTTACAGAACAAATAAAAACCATTTTCCTTGAAGACTTCACATCAGTGTATACAACATGTTATACAATCCTCCCTAACAACGTGGCTGATGAAAGCCCATTAAACAACTTCGACAAAGTAACTTTAATGGAGATAAATTACTGTGTATTTTTTAAGCAATTAGTAGAAACTAATGTAACATAACTAATGGCATAATGTTATATATGGAAATGGTATACAGTTAGCATTAACAATAGTAATATCTTTAACTAGACAGTGGTAAAACTAATGTTGGCCACAATACTACAGTGTAGTTCATTGATACCATCCTATTTTAAATGTGTTAATTAATCAGACTTTATGCCACACATATTGTTTTTGCAATTGATAATTAACATTACACACTTAATATCACTAAGATTGCTAATGTAATTAACAGGATATGCCACACCTAATATTCTACAGTTGTTAAGCAATTAACATTTCAGGACAGTGTGTGACATGTAACACTTTTAGAGTTGATACTTTTCCAGTAGTGTAGAAAGGAGTTGCAAAGTGGGGTGCTTGGCTAGACATGCTGATAAAATAATAATATTTACAATTGTTATACAAGTCAAATATGTAAAAGTGGGGGTTCCGAAGCCTCTGTATAATAGCTTATACAGAAGAGTTGCTACAATAACAATTATTAATAATAAAATAGTGTTGATTACAATTAACAGGCAAACTTCAAAAAAGCATCTATGACTGAACTCTGCCATAGATCATCCATTGGGTTTCATTGTTGTTACTGGTGTTTTCAGCTCTTCATCTAAGAACACCTGACAAAGTTGGGTTTGCTTAGTGATATTACTAAGTTTCAAAACAGAATTATCACATGTAAAGCTATCACACTTGGCCAATGTAGTTATTACTATAATTTAAGAAATTTAAAACTATAAATAACAGAAACAGATATAAACTTATTTACTGTCTAGTAAGTTCTTGCTAGAGGTCGAAGTACCACACAACAATAGCACATTATATTACAGGAGTGTATAAGAATTAATTAATATATTTCAGTGCTCACTTATAGATTAAATAGTTTTGGTTGCTTAGCCTAATGGTAATTTACTTTATCTTATAGTACCATTTAGACTCTAAGAAGTATTTCATATTGCTAGCAGTGAATGATACGTAAACTTGGTGGTTAGTTTAACTTTCACCAGAAGGATTTGGAAATTGTTAAACACTTTTCTGTCACTTCTCTGTTACAGAAGTTGACTGCAATAGGCCACCAACATTGTTTGTCTTGAGCCACTCTAAGTTCTTAAGGCCAATTCATTGTTTGATATCATCCTCCCATTTCCTCCTACCTTCCACTTTTCCTTCTTGTACCTTTTTATTATGTATCATGATACATAAAACATGCCCTTACCTACATGTCTCTTCATTAATGATTACTTCAGTACTAATTGTTCATGCTTGTCAATTTTATGAATAGTTCAAAGCACCACTGTTCATGAAATGCATGTTGTCTGTGTAGATGCAGTTCGTAATGCCTCTGGTCCTCTGTTAGTGGAGATTGAAAAGAGTCCAGGTACTCAGCTTGGAATAACCTTGACACGTATTCAGCGACCTGAAAATGTTGTAGTGATTGAAAGCATTAAACAAGCCACAGTGGCAGAAAGGTAATATTTTTCTTGTTGAAAGTATAAGTTAAAAAGGTAAACTGAAATGGCAGAAGTTAAGTGTTTTATTGATTGAAATGTATAGATGGGCCTCGAAATGTGAAAACCTTGGTTAAGCAACAATGAAAGAAAAATAACATTGTTGTGAATGTAATTGTTAGGCATGACATGGTTGCAGAAATCTAACGTTAGTGCAGCTACATTGAGAGAAAGCGAACATTGTGAATGTATTTGAGATTATTATTATTATTAATGTAATCAGTAAAATTAATATTCACGAACAGCAAATTCCACAATTTTTAGATGTGGAGCTCTCCATGTTGGAGACCATATTCTGGCAATAGATAATACACGAGTTGACCAAATGACAGCTGCTGAAGCTACTCAGCTCTTGAAAACCTCACTTGGAGAAGTGATTCGACTCGAAATTCTTCCCATTAGTCAGATGGGACTGAGGAATGTCCCAAGTGTTAATGTTCGAAGAGGTATTGAAAACTGGTTTCTTTTGTTAGTTTCGTTTTTCATTAAACAGGTTGTGATTATGTTAACTAAGAAGTACAAAAACAAATTTATTGATTTTTCAAGTAATTTTTCAATAACTTTTGTTTAAAGACTGAAATATGACCATAAGATACTGTTATTTTTTTGTTATAATTTGTGACTATTTTGCAATTTCTTTCACCCTAATTTTTCAGTTTTTATTTGATATGCGCAGATGAACATTATTTGAACTTCCGTATTTACACTGCTAAGGTATTTATTTTTAATGTGTTTGGTATGAATGCTGGTTTTCTATTATGTGATAGTACTGTTATTACATAGTATTGTATCAGTGAAGTTTTATTATGGTTCATTAAAAAAAGTATATTTATTTGTAAAGTACTTACTGATTTGACAGTCTTCCTTCTAATGTATTAAGGGCAACTTCCACTACCAGCGTCAAGCACAGTACAATACGGATACAGTTCTTCCAGCTATAATACTTTGTCTTCTGCTGGGGGTCATTCGACAATGTCTTCAACTAATCATGCACTTGTTTCCTCCTTTCTACCTCCACAAGGACACTGGACACTGCCAACAGGTACATTTTAAATCAGACTAAACAGAAGATCTGATGAATAATAAGTTTCAGAGTTTGTGTTTACTTCTTTTTGAAGTCCAACTGAATTCATCAAAGCAGGAGGCCACTTAAATTGTATGAAACAACATCTTTATTTATAACACAGTGCAAGACAAGCAAGGGCAAGTGTTTGTTGTGTGAATGTGTAACTGTAAGAGAGATTGTGTGAAAAGAAACCTTCATCGTTTATCCGTCTCTCACCATTTTAGTGTACCCCCCCCCCACCTCTCATAAGTTAAATGGAAGCAAAAGAAAGTTGAAAGTTAAAAATTAAAATATTCTCAAGATAAACTTGAAACAAGGACACTGAACTCTAAATCTTGCATCTACATAAATTCAATGACAAGTCTCACAAAATCTAGATGAATTTAAAATCTTACAAAATTTGCCTAACTGTGAGCATGAACATGGATTTTTTCTATTATTATTATTTTTCATCAGGATTAGTTTTATAAGGATAGTTAGCCAGTGAACTCTGCATTCAGATGTTTGACTTGGAAGTTTGGCAAACAATAATAATTTTTTTTTCATTGTGAATTCAGGATCTTTATCATCTAGTAATGCCAGAGCAGTGACTCCAGCAGGTCACCTATTTCATACTGACACAACCCAGGTCATATTACAAGCAGACCACCGTGGATTTGGTTTTACTGTTCAAGGATCTACATTTACCACAGAACTGGTGTCTTCTCCATCATTAGTAGGTAGTATTGAACCTTCAGGACCAGCAGAAAGGTAATACTTACATTATTGGAATTTTATAATAAGCCAATTTAAACAAGGTCTTTTAGTTTGTTAAGGACTATTAGTGAGTAGTATTGAACCTTCATGACCAGCAGAAAGGTAATATTTACATTATTGGAATTTTATCATAAGCCAATTTAAACAAGGTCCTTTAGTTTGTTAAGGACTATTAGTGAGTAGTATTGAACCTTCATGACCAGCAGAAAGGTAATATTTAAATTATTGGAACTTTATAATAAGCCAATATAAACAAAGTTCTTTACTTTGTTAAGGACTATTAGTGAGTAGTCCTTAACA